ACGCACGCACGCACGCACGCACGCACGCACGCACGCACGCCCTCACACACACACACACACACACACACACACACACACACACACACACACACCTCCTTTTTTGCTTATTTGCTTATTTGTCTCTTTTGAAATATATATTATATTTCCTTTTATATACATTCTTCATCCGAATATACATTACACGTGAGTTATTGTCCGGTGGTGGAGGCCTGGTGGCTGTAGCACAGGGAATCCTAGTATCGTCACCAGTCTCTATTAAATGTAATGATATTTTATAAATGTTATTTTGTAGAGAGAAATAAAGTTTATTATTATCTGGGGTATTTGTATATTTTTCTCATCTGGTTGGGCTGTATAAATATATAATTGAAAATGAAAATGATAAACTTACATAAATATCAATAAAATAAAATAAATACATAAAAATTACATAAATATATAAAAACCCAACCAGATGGAAGCCCTCGGCAGGGGAGACCAAACGGCCGAGGGTTAGGGGGAAAGGGAAAGAAACCGGCGGACGATGCGGGCGGTATCGAGGAGCACCGCCTTTTGCATTTGAGCTTGGAGCGATCCGTCACGAAGTCCCAGTCGCCTCAGGTGACCCGAGAGGCTGACTGGGATTAACCCGTTCGCAGAGACGACCACAGGAATAATTTCGGCCGGCAGACCACCCCACATGTCGGTCACCTCGTGAGCCAGGTCCAGATATTTTGTCACCTTATCTGTTTCGGCTTTCACGAGGTTTTCGTCATAAGGAATGGTAATGTCGACCAAAAATATCCTTGACTGTGCCCGGTCCATCAGCGCAATATCAGGCTTATTCGCAAGAATAGTCCTGTCTGTGATGATGGCCCGGTCCCAGTAGAGCCTGGCGCGGTCATTTTCGAGTACGGCTTCCGGCAAGTACTTATAATACGGCAGTTTCCGATCCACGAGACCGTATTTCAGAGCGAGCTCCTGGTGTAGAATCCTGGCTACTAAGTTGTGTCTGTGCAAATACTCAGAGTTAGAAAGCGCCGAACAACCGGAGATGACATGCCTAAGTGACTCACCGGGATGGCGACAAGCTCGACAGACGTCAACGGTGCCATCCTTTAGGATGTATCTCCGATAATTGTTGGTCTTAATAACCTGGTCCTGTATCGCACAGACAAAACCCTCGGTTTCCCCAAAGAGGTCACCGAAACGTAGCCAGTGGAGGGAGGCGACTGTGTCTACGAAAGGCTCGTGTAGAGCCTTGTAGAACCTCCCGTGGAGCTCCTTCTCCTTCCATACGGTCTCCCGGTCGGAAATGCTCTGTACTGCCGGGTCCCGCCATTGCTCGTTGGCTAAGGATATAGGGGTAAGTCCTTTATCACAAGAAATAACGTCTCTATAGTATGGATCATCCGCTCTCGTCAGAAAGTAATTACGGAGGCTGCACACTTCGAGATTATGCATGGTAAGCGCACTTAAAAAGCCGCGCCCACCATGCTTCCGCGGCAAGTACAGCCTCATTACTGACGATCTCGGATGATGCATCCTGTGGGACGTCATTATAGTGCGGACTTTTCTGTCCAGAGCGTTTAGTTCGGTCTGAGTCCACCTAAGTATGCCAAAGGTATACATGAGAATAGGCATGACCCAACCGTTATATGCGTGCGTCTTATTCACACCGGACAAAAGGCTGTTAAGCACTTTGGTCAAGCGTGCATAAAACACATCGCAAACTGACTGTTTCATACCCGCCTCATCTACACCGATGTTCTGTGACATACCCAGGTATCGGTATGTTTCAGCCCCGGAAAGGGTCCTTATGTTGATGGGCATAGATAAATCTATGCCCTCAGAGTTAGCAACCCTTCCCCTTTCAACATGGAGGACCGCACACTTATCCGTCCCCAGCTCCATTCTAATAGAATTGCTAAAATCACAAGTGATGTTTAGCAATTCCATAAGATGAGAGCGACTGGAGGCGAATAACTTGAGATCATCCATAAAGAAAAGGTGGGTCACTTTTGTACCTCCTCTCCGAAGCTGAAATCCCCTCCCGGAGCCCTCCAGTAAGGTACTGAGAGGGTTCAGAGAGAGGCAGAACCAGATTGGACTCAAACAATCGCCCTGGAAGATACCCCTTCTTATCTTTATGTGGTTCTCCGCAGCCGTCATCCGCTCACCTAGATGACAAAGGATCGTACTCCACTGCCCCATACACTGCCCGAGGAAGTCTCTAACTGTACAGTCAATCTTGTACAGCTCGAGGACCCTCTTAAGCCATGCATGAGGCACCGAGTCGAATGCCTTTTTGTAGTCTATCCAGGTGGCGGAGAGGTTCCGACGGTTGCGTTTAACCACCTTGCCAATGACCGCGTCAATGAGGAGTGGTTCCTTGGTTCCACGACCACCGCCCCTACATCCATTCTGAGCGCGCGACATCACCTGATTTGAGTTCAGGTGACGACTGATTCTAGCGCTCAAAATGGATGTTAGTGTCTTGTATATCGTGGGTAGACACGTGATGGGGCGGTATTTGCTCGGGTCTGTGGTGTCCTAATCTTTAGGAACCAAATGAGTGATCCCAGTAGTGAAGAGGCTCGGGAGCGACTTCTGGTCGAGAGCCTCTTGAAACTGTCGGGCGAGCACAGCGTGACACACCACGAACCCCTTCAGCCAGTAGTGATGCAGACCGTCGAGCCCCGGACTTTTCCAGTTCGGGGCCCTACGGACCGCCTCAACTACATCATCCGGCGTTATGATGACGGGGTCCATGGGCGTAATATTCGCACACTGACTCGCCACAACTTCCGTCCAAGGGCCCTCGCTGTGGTTTACGGGCTCTGACCACAGGCCGCGCCAGAATGCGATAGTGTCGGCCTGATTCGGTGCTGGGCCCGTTCCACGTACCATTGGTCGCTCCAATGATTCATAGAGCCTCTTCTGATCACTCTGAAAGAGACGATTCTGGTTGAACCGTGTCGACCTCTCGGTATATCGCCGAATCCGCTTCCCCCAAGCAGCGATTCTCTGCTTCAGGTCGTCTATGCGCTCCGTCAGTTTTTGCGTTATATCCGGCTGGGACAAACTGATATTTGTCCCAGCAAACGCCATCCTGACGGTGCGCACAATTCTCGGCCTATTATTGCCCGACCTGAAGCTTATCAGCCTGCCGATGAGGGCCCTTGCCTTTACAATACGGTCCTCAATCCTTCTTCTCCAGGCTGGGATGGCGCTGCTTTGTCTAGTAGCGCGTCCAGCCGTGGGAAGTTTGGCGCCAACAATACGGCAAACTGCCAGTGCGGCGCCAAAAAGAATTGAGTCCGTCTCGCAAAGGTCCCGGCTGGCTTCCAAATAGGTCACCAGCATTGGGTTGAGAGCCCTCACGACAGCCCGATTTCGCTTGCTTAGGGGTATGCGCGGGAGTCGCGGTCGATTTTCGAGAGGCGTACTGCGCGTTTCCACAATCGCCTCCTCCAATTTACTCCTCATCTGCTCTAGTTCTTGGGTGACCATTCCATCATCGCCTGAATCAACTAGATTTATTATATTATTAATATTATTATTTTTAAACTTTTGTTATTGCAGTTTTTGAAAATACAAGTAAATAAGGCTTCTTCATTTATTTGAAATTATCCTAAACTGAATTTCATTTATAGGCTACGAGTACTATGATTACGCCCGTTCCTCTGTTTGTGTTTCAATTCACACCGATCGACCCTTACGAATGTGTGCGTGTGCAGTAAAATCAATTAAAATAATGCATTACTAGATTACCACCCATTTTAAATTTAAAAGATAATAAAGACAGAATGTTTGAGATTTATTTGTAATTAATGTTTCCGAATTACTTATTCTGAATCTTCTCTGCAAATTTGGCCGTTTATTGCAAAATAACCCTCTATAAAAACATTCAAACTTGTACAAAAATAAATTAATCTTATCAGAGAAATTCATAATAAAATATATTAAATGAAATTACCATTTCGAATAAAATGCGGTTATATTGTAAATACTCTAATTGCTCGCTTTATGTGATAATTCACTAAAATAATTTACTTTAATAAAATACACCTTTTCGACTCTAGTTGAAAGCTACATGTAATATTTTGCTATACTCTGAATATTTTGTTTGCTTTTAATTTATGTTATGGTATTACACCTTTTCAAATGTATAAATTTTAAAAAACCATACCGATACAATACCATGATAAAAACATTTATTTATTATTTATTGAACCTTACACAATCTATAGGAAAAAATCCTAATAGAAATATCTGCCAGTCAACCTTAGTTTGGTTACTTTAGTAATAAAGTGGATACATTGGCTTATATTATGTTAAAAATATTATATGTATTATATAATCCTAATAACTTCTACCCCCTAAATACTCTACTGATGGTCAATGACCTTGATCAGCTGGATCGGTAATTTCGCATTGCCAAGCACGTACGCACCTTTAACATGGTTTACATTTATAATATATGGCAGAGATAAAATATTTTTGTTGCATTTCTTGGGGGAGGTATATGCTCAGCGCTTTATAATTTTAAAGTTACAAACGAACTTCTGCAGCCCATGGACACCTATAACCACGAAAACACACTTTATACAAAAAAGTCTGCGATGCATTGCCATATACTAATTGGAATGCCACAGTCTGTATAATACTAGTAGACTAAATACGTTCCGACCGAATTACAACAACGCATAGATAGGTAAAAGGGTGGTAACTACCTTAACGGACTTCCAGGCAGACAAGGAGCTTTACCAACTAGAAAAAAATGTGATGGACTGTAATGATATCTGATGTACTGAAATGGTTATAACCTTTCTAAGAAGAACACATGATCGTCGATACTTTCTTTGGTCGACTCTCGTGACACCCACAAGATTCAGTGTTAATGGTGATAGATTTTTTGACGTAACCATTTAACAACCGTTATCAGGCCACTGTTTATAAGACATTTTATGTTTATATCTATAAGAACATATACCTATTTTAAAAATGCTTTGTAATAGAAAGTCGCACAGAAAATGGGTCTGGATACAAGAACGCCGGTAAATCTATGGAAAGATAAGGCTCTGGTGGAGGTGAATGTTGCGGTCCTCCATAGCTTCCAACAACAAAATGCTACAATTGTTGACCACCACACAGCTTCGGAGAGTTTTATCAAGCACTTGGACAATGAGAATAGATTGCGGTAAGTCCTTTTAATTGTATCCCAATTAAAAAAAGGAAAAGGTTGTCAATTAAGCTTTAATACATGTAACATGAAGTATCAATTAGTACCGGTGTCCATCACCCCACATCGTATATGGGTGTCGTAAAGGGTGACTAAGGAAAACAATATAGGAGATAAGCCAGCGTTTTACTAATAACTACTAAAAGAAGAAAATTCCTGCTTATCGTGGCAACTATGACACAAAAAATACCCCATAAGACCAATCTAAAGGGAGGCGTATGTTCAGCAGTGGACTTTGATATGTTGAAAATTTAATTAATTAACAGAAATCTCCGAGGTAAGTTACTGAACTCATTTATGCACCATTATAATAATATACTTTTAAACGGTTCTTATATAAATTTTAATCAGACTTGCACAGAATACCAGCGTAAAATAGCAGCTTAAGCTGCTGTGTTTTGCATAGTAATTGTAGAGAATCGTAAACTCTTTTTACTGGAAACGAGGCACTCCATCTTAGTCCTCAGGGATGGCAACGCATCTGCATCCAAATTCTTAATACAGGATAGGTGGTCTATAAGCCACAGCATCCACTTACCATCAGGTCCACTGATGTCACCCTAATTCTATAAAGAAACAGATCCAATGATAAGTAAATTTTTTTGTAAATATCTAATTATTTAGTCTATAGGTCATGCATCGTAATGTTGCGTTGTAAATCGGTTAATTTGTACATACGTGTAATGTATGTCAATTTATATAAGTACTTCTCAAACCTTCGATATCAATAACATAGAAACGTTTAGCGGTCGTTTACTCCTTAAATTAACATTTCGTGCTTCACTCGTGTCGACGCCTAGAGGCTAAATTCACACAACATTTTCAAAGTACTCAAGCAACAAAGTTCGATCCCCATAGGTGTCACTGAAATTGTTAATTACAATTTAAAGTGCTACTTTACTATGTATTCAGGAAGGTATGTGTAGCATAGAGGTCAAATTCACAAATTTTTTATTATGCTAGCAACAAATTTCGATCTGCAGAGATACTACTGAAGTTGTTATAAATTTGAAAAGCTGGCTTATCACGTGTTCTGGAAGGAAAACGTCGTGAAGAAACCTTAATATGATACAAAAATTGGCTCATCCTCATTATCATCAACAACGTCGTTATTATCATCATCATTATTTCAGTCCATGAAAGTCTTTGCCACTGTTGCCACACTTGGCATACCTGCCATCCACCTGATAACCGCAGCTTTTATTGTTTTTTTCCGAACCAATGGTTTTTTTTATAGGATTAGGGTGACAAACGAACACACAGTCCACCTGATGGTAAGTGGTTGCTGTGACCCATAGACATATACATTTCCCGCACGGAACAAGTATTTGTATGGCTTACAAATAATTGTTCCGGGTGTCGATGTTTGTCCTTGTGTAATTTATGTTTGTAAACTGCCTCCACGACACAGGAGAAAATCTTAGTGTGGGGGTAACGTTTTTTTTATAAAAAAAAAACGTTTATCCTCGTTCGCAAATCAAAATGCAGATGCGTTGTCACCCGTGAGGACTAAGTTTGAATGCCTCTTTTCCAGTAAAAAGGGTCTCCGGTTCTTTACACTCACCATAAGAAACACAGCAGTGTTAAACTGCTATTTTACGCTGGTACTCTGTGAGAGCGTGGTCCTTCCCTGGTCGAGCCGACCCATTCGTGCTACAACTATACTACTAATATAGCTGCAGCATGGCTCTACCACGTATGAAAAGTGGTAAAGTAAAAAATGACTTTCAATAAGAATTAGATACGTGTGATCTAAATTAAATAAAAAGTTATTCTATTCTTTCGATTTTTTATAAGGAAGGTGCTACTACCCATCCCCTATTTAAGTTTTCTTCTGTCATTACTTACGATACCCACGTGATGGTACAGGACACTAACGAAACTATAAACTATATTTATATTATTTATGTGAAAGATTCAAGAGACTATTGCGAATTTGGATAAAACTTGATGTTTTCAACATGGTAGAGCCATGCTACAGCTATAATAGTAGTATAGTTGTAGTACGAATAAAGAAAAAGACCACGCTCTCAGAGAATACCAGCGTAAAATAGCAGCTTAACACTGTTGTGTTTCGTATGGTGAATGTAGAGAATCGGAGCCCCTTTTACTGGAAAAGAGGCATTCCATCTTAGTCCTCATGGGTGAGAACGCATCCGCATTTTGATTTTTTATCAAGGATAGATTTAGATATCTATGGGTCACAGCAACAACTTACCATCAGGTGGATTGTGTACTCGTTCGTCACCCTATCCTATAAAAATATACATAATATTGATGCTAACACATGAGTAATTTTTAAGGGAAAATAAAAATTACCGCCACAGAAAAAACACGAAAGAGTTTCAAAACACGAAAGAGTCTGTGATACGAGGGTGGATTGAAAAGTACTCGGCCTAACCAAGAAAATAAACACATACTAAATCAGTTATATTTTTATTTTTCTACATAATCACCATCAAGTTCAATACACTTTTGCCACCTCCCCTTCCAAGCATTTAGACCGTTGAAAAAAAATGATTCTTCCTTAGAGTCAAAATATGCGTCTACAGCTGCTTTGACCTCGTCGTTTGTCGAAAATCTTTGACCTCCCAAGTGCTTTTTTAGGTTAGGGAACAGAAAGAAGTCTGATGGTGCCAGATCAGGTGAATACGGCGGATGCGGTAACAGTTCAAAGCCACAGTTGTGAATTTCAGCCATTGACTGTACTGACGTGTGAACACGGGCGTTATCTTGATGAAACAGGACTTTTCTTCTGAGCATTCCTCGACGTTTTTCTTTTATTTCCTCTCGTAAACGACGTAGTAAGGTGCAGTAGTAATCAGAGTTTATATTCTGACCCCTTTCAAGATAATCAATCATAATCACACCTTTCGAGTCCCAGAATACTGAAGCCATCACCTTATTTGCCGACAAAATCGACTTAGCCTTTTTAGGGGGTGGTGAACCAGGTCTTCTCCACTGTTTTGATTGTTGTTTTGTTTCCGGTGTACAGTAATGAACCCATGTTTCGTCCATAGTAACAAAACGATTCAAAAAATCATCTGCATCGGCTTCAAATAACTCCAAACAGTCGCGTGAAATAGTCAATCGCGTCCTTTTTTGTTCAACTGAAAGCAGTCGCGGAACCCACCTCGCAGACACCTTGTGGAAACCCAACTCGTTGACAATTATGTTTTGAGTTCGTTCATAAGAGATGCCTATAATCTCGGCTATCTCTCTAATTTTTAATCTGCGGTCTCCCGTTATTAAATCAAGTAATTTTTTAATATTTTCGTCAGTAGTTGACGTCGAAGGCCTTCCAGAGCGGGGTTCATCTTTCACACTCTCTCTACCACGCTTAAATTCTGCTATCCATTTTTTGACGGATGAATATGACAGAGCACAATCGCCTAATGTACTGACCATGTCATCATGGATGGCTTTTGATGATAGCCCCTTCTTATGGAGGTACTTAATGACGGCACGCTGCTCGATTTGCTCCATTCGCGGAAATTATGTCCCGATTACTTTGTTAATAAATTTATAGAATCACAACTAATTATCGCACACGTTTCGAACTTCACACAATGAACTAGTCTGAACTGAACTAAATAATGTGGGTAGATTTGATTTTTAGAATTGAATGGATCTGTGTTAGGCCGAGTACTTTTCAATCCACCCTCGTATTTGTAATCTAAGCCAAGCTTTTACGGCTTCTTTGAATTCAAAGCTCAAATGTTAACCTTATGTAATTAATGATAATATAACTAGCTACGTATACTAAAGATACGTGACATACCCCTTTCGCTTCATCATAAACAGATAAACGGGAAGGCGTGTATCAAATAATAAGTAACTTGAATATATTTTGCAAATGAATCCACACCGTGTAATTATACGGTTATTCCGTATCTATCTTAATTTAGGTTTGGATGCTCAACTTAATTTTCATATATAAATAAGCAAGCAACCGAAGCTCGTCACCCGATACCTTAAAATTGTAAATTATTGTTGTGCTACTTTACAAAACACTTTGCACTTAAGAAGAAAATGGAAAATTTATACGTTGCGGACCAGCAACTCACTCCGAAAATGTTCACTTGAGTTCCAGTTCCATAATTTAATGTCACAAACAATCATATATTATATTAATAAAAAAGTAATCTTTGTATATACAATTCTGGTGTGTGTGTTCGTAATTCTTGGCTTGGTCGATTTTTATGAGGTACTTATGAGGTCACCTGGATGATTCTTGGCTATAGTTATACTCAGTAGGTGGCACTACTGTTGAGATCCAGAAGTCACTCGTGCGAATATGTCGCGGAACTGAATATTTTTTTATATAATACTAGTTGTATTATATAAAAAAAATATTCAGTTCAATTCTGTCACAAGTAAATTATTATTAATATATTGGACAATAAATGTGATTATTGGATTAGCTGGACGCAGAACTGGTATCATGTTTAAGAACAAGGAAAATAGTCACAGCGTTGTCTCAATGCGTGTTGGCAGACTGACAGATATGTTTTCGCAATATTTTAATTTCTCAGACATGCAGGATTCTTTGAATTGTTTTCTTTTAACGCTGAACCCGCGGTTATATTCATATAATAACTACATACGCGGGGTACACTGAACGTTTTACGTAACTAAACAATTTATATATTAAACTAATATATTTGTTGCTTTTCAAAGTACTTTGTATTATATTTTGGACACATTTTGTCATTCGTTCAAACCATTTTTTTTAATATAAGGGATAGAGTTGGTCTGGTCTGGTCTCCATCAGTCTGAGGCCATAATTTTCACGTGCTGGTCCTTCTTCAAAACCTTCCATCAAATCATCGGTTTTTAGAAAATAAAGAAATTCATTCAGAAGACAAAATTGACTTTTTTTGTTAATTCCATTTTTGCAACGGATGGCGAACTTAACTGATAAAGAACAATTGATTCGCGACCTCTCGCTAAAATTATTTCAAACAATTTAAGTATTTCTTATGTTTAAAAAAAATATAACATTCGAAATTCAAACTTATACAAGCGGCAAGAAGCACAGAACTTTCAGTGTGCCCTATGCATAATTACGTTAAACGATTTTAGTGGTATGAGCGAGCATCGAAATTGAGTTGCTCACGTACTATGAAATTTAAAGCGATCGCCCAGCACCTGCTTACTTTTCTTCGAACAGTGATCCACATCAGACGTTTTTAAGTCATTTACCGAAAAACTGGTTTACATTTAGATTAACTATCTAAAGTTAGCTTTCAAACTTGACTTAACTTTCAAATGGCCAATGTTCGAAAGATATAATTTTTTAACATACAAACAAACAACACAGGCACAAATATATGATATTTTTTTTAATTATAAAAACAAAAACAAAAAGTGGTAGGGAGTGCTCTCTTCCGATTTCTATAGTAAAGGGTAGATAGATAAATAGATAGAAATAACACTTTATTGTACGCCAAAAAATAACAAAAATATCAACAAAAAAATGAGAAAAAGAAATGTGGTACAATGGGCGGTCTTATCGCTAAGAGCTATCTCTTCCAGACAACCTTTGGATGGACAGCATTGCAAGAAAACAATAAAAACGTGTGTGGTTTGCTGACAAAATAACATTATTTTTATTAAAGCCATAAAATAAAACTATATAATGGTATATAAGTAACTACATAGATAAGATAAATACATATATACTTATTAATATATATGTATAAATATACAAATAAATATATATTTTTATAAATATAAATATATAAAAGTACAATATATACTTTAAAACTATTACATATGACATAAAAGTGCCATACATATAAACAAATATTTTAACTAAATAAAGGAGAATAATTATATACAAATGAACTAAATAGAATCAAAGTTGAAAAAAGTAATCATGTACATGCTTCTTAAAAACCGGTAGGGATTGAGCGCGTCTTGCTGATAACGGCAAGTCATTCCATAATCGAACAGCTTGTATTGTGAACGATCTGTCCAAAAATTTGGTAGTGTGGGCTGGCATTTTTAACATCAAATTTTCTTATGATCTCAAATGTCTCAAATGTGATTCATTGAGGAATTCAAACCGATTTTTAGGTAAGAAGGATAGAAAGGATTAAAAAGAATATTATAAATAAGTAAAAGAATATGAGCATTCCGGCGAAGGCGAATTGGCAACCACTTGAGCCTGTTACGAAAATCTGACACATGATCATATTTACGCAAACCAAATATGAATCTTATACAAAAACTTTGAAGTCGCCCAAGTTCATCAAGTTGCATTTCAGTGAGATCAAGATAGCTGACATCTGCAAAATCGAGTATTGGAAGCAGAAGAGTTTGCGCAAGCGCAATCTTAGTGGCAGTTGGTAAAAAGTTTCGTAGTCTTCTCAAAGAATGAGCAGCTGCAAAAATTTTACGACTAACTTCCTGTAACTGAGGACCCCAAGATAAAGTTTTATCGATGAATACACCCAAGTTTTTGACAGTGTCACTGGTCAGGATTATATTACGATCAAATACAACTTTGGTTACTTGTGGTAAATTGCATTTTGTAAGCATATGCGGAGAATCTATAATAATTAGTTGTGTCTTCAGTTGGTTAATTTGGAACCATAATATCTGCTCCATTCCGAAATGATTGCTAAGTCACTGTTTATAGTGTTAATAGCTACAGCTAAGTCACTAGGAGTAGCTTGTGAATATAAATTTTAAAAATCTAAGGCCCGTATGGTTTGTAATCTACAATACAACAAAAAGCTATAAAACCATCAACGCAACAACCTCGAACTTCAAAGTCTGACGTATGGATCAAATAAACAATGATACACATGTGTCGGAATGGTTAAACATACAAATAATATTGCTCATATCGTGTGATTGTTTGTGTCGAACGACTTACAGAATCTTTAAGCATATCCAACTTTAGTCGTAGATATAGCCTACTAGTACCTCCAAAGTTACAAAGTCCTTTAATCATACCTCATTGATAATGAGGGATGATCAAAGAAAATCTTAACATATTTTCATTGGTTCATTAATACTCTTTTTTAAAGTTTAAGGGTGACAAACGAACACAGTCCATCTGATGGTAATAGATGCTGTGGTCCATACACATCTACATCTGTCTCCGATTAAGAATCAAAATTCAGACTCGTTGTTACTCCTGAGAACTAAGATGGAATGCCTCGTTCCGTTTAAAATTTGTCTCCAGTCCACACTTCTACATATACACTTACCATACGAAACACAGAAGCGTTAGCTTCTATATCACGCTGGTATTCTATTAGAGCTTAGTCGTTCCCCGATCGAGCCGACCAATTCCTGCCAACCATAATATAGTTAAATCGTAGCTCTACCACGTGTAAGTTTATTAATTTTTATCAAATGATACGATAGTTCATGGTCCAAGGATTTAATTCACGGCATAATAATTACTGGTTGTATTTGATCCATATAATTGGCTCTATTGATTAAAATTACGCAGGCTCTTAATGTTTCACGTTTTAGTCGGTTCGATTCTTTGCTCTGACAAGCGATTTTTAAAATTAATTATTATATTTGTAAACTATTGTAAATAGTTTTTACATAAATATATTACTATCACATATATTAAATTTTCATTTTATTAAAATCAAATTAAAATTTATCTATTTTCATAGCTCTGGTTGTCCGGCGGACTGGATTTGGATTGTACCGCCAATGTCATCATCAATTACACCCGTATTCCATCAAGAGATGGCACTGTATTACTTACGACCCGCCTATGAATATCAGGTAAGCTGTTTTAATAATTTTGTTGAATTAAAAGCATTTCTTTGCAGAAATCTTAATCAACTATAGTCTAATGTATCGAGCAAATAGACTACCTGATGGTAAATGAATACCATACTATTCATTTACCATCAAGTGATAAATGAATAACCAACTTCAAGCAAAGGTTATATCTATCTATATGTGCGATATTACCTCTGAAGAGTAAGATCAAAGTTTCAAGTTTAAATCAAAGAAAAAAATTTTACGTTATATAACAATGGATTTACTTTTGTTTGGGGGCAGAAATATCTAAGTCAATATGCAATACACAGAACGCCTCCTAGGCAGAACAGTTCTACCACCTAAAGACGATAGACATACATATAAAGATTATTCTTCTATAAGTTATAGTCCTGAATTAATTTGTGGTTGTGTTCTGCATATTGTGTTACTGTTTTTTAAAATGAAATGAAGGTAATTTCCTTCTTACTTGGATTATCTCCGCACTGCGATACGTTTAATGGTGGTGTAAGAATATCCACTACCCCATATCATCCCGTGGGTGTCGTAAGAGGCGACAGAGGGACACAAATCAGGAGATTAACACCAGTGTCTTCCTAATAACAACTAATAATAATAAACTACGGTAACCCGCTTGCCAAGCGTGGCAGCTAAGGCAAATATCCCCGCTATGAGGCAATCTACGGGAGGTCTATGTTCACCAGTGAACTTTAATAGGCTGTAACAGTAACCGGTGAATTATCTTATTTTTCGTGGAGGCGTCTTACATACGTAAATTTCATATTGACAAATATCTTGTCTTGTAAATGTAATCTATCTATACTTGTTTCGGTTGGGAATTTTACCGAAATTAAGTCAAGTCGCAAATACAGTCTTAGCCATTTCGCTTCAAAGCAAATATAACAAAAATTTGGAAAACCCAAAATTGCACGCCCCATGAGCGTTTCATTTAATTTTGAAGAAAAAAATAAAAATAGTGATTAAATTTTTATAAAAAAAAAACAGAATCTGATCGACTTTCATTAATAACTTTTAAACGGTATAGAGTTCAATAACAAAAATCAATAGGGATCCTCCTAAGAATATATGGAATCTTATTTCATATACTATATATCTCAATCTATAGATTAAATTTCTAGCGGGAAGACTCACCGACTCACAGACCAACGGACGGCAGTCCATATATTTTTTCAATTACATGTTTTGTTATGTAATCTAAAGGGAATCAAATAGAAAATAAACTTATAATTCAATGTCCATTGATATTTTTACGTTAATAATAATACGGATTTGATATCCAGCTAAAAGTATAAGAACGATTTTATGTAGCGGAATTGAGGTATGCCCATACATCGAGTGTACAGTACTTTCTCTTTACTCACGTTGTAAAACTAAAGTATGCTATATAAAACACGTAAAACATATTGACCAGGAACCAGCTTGGAAGACGCATCAGTGGCAAAAATCGAAGCCGATTAGTGGAAAGCGGGCTATTAATAGAAAATTTCACTTCAAGCAAATTGCACGCGCCGTCAAATTTACATCGAAATTATTTGGCAGAGCTCTCTCTAAGAGGATTAAAGCAACGGTTCTCTATGCCACCGAGACTGGAAAGTCCGAGCAATACGCTAAGGAGCTAGGGGTCATTTTTGGCCACGCTTTCAATGCTCAGGTATTTAAGAAACATACAATGGAAGTGTAATTTATCATGTTATATTGGTTAATTACGCTATTAGAATCAGAAGTAACAGTATATATTATTCTACTGTTAAAAGTGAGTCAAATATGTAAGATTATTTTTCAACTTATAGGTACACTGTATGGCGGATTATGATATAACATCTATAGAACACGAAGCATTATTACTTGTTGTCACCTCAACATTTGGGAATGGTGATCCACCAGAAAACGGCGTGGTAAGAAATCTTTCGCTGTAGCATTTTCATATTAAGTAGCCACCTATAGTCTTTAACAAATATATAAATACTATAGGATAAGGTATGGGCAAAATTGCTTGTCTTAATTAAGTTATTTATACTTATTTTTAAGTACTTATTAATAAAACATCCTTTTAGTAACATTTAAAGTAATAAAAGACGACGTCGTGTAATGGCGACGTAAAAGAATCCACTACCCCATATAGAGGGTATATCTCTTGGGTGATGTAAGAGGTGACAGAAAGAAACTGAAACAAACGACGGGCTGGATCGTTTTTCAACAAAAAAAAAAACCAAAAATAAAAATAAACAAAATACGGTTGTAACTACGAAAAATGTCCCCCCTATGAGCAATCTATGACGTTGGTTTAGTATTGAAATGAAAATTAATTAATTAACATAAGATTGATGCCTATGGCTCAGAACCGTGCTTTGCCGCATTCTGCGGGGGAGGCGTATGTTCAACAGTGAACTTGCGAAGATCTGTAACGATAATAATGATAAACGTAAAGTAGCTACCTTAACTGCCATACGGCCAGTGATTATAATAATTATCTTTTCCTTTAAAGTGGACCTTATTAGTAGATGTTCTGCTACTTTACGAAAGAAACCAAAAGGCTGGCCAACGGAGCTCTATTAGCTAGAAAATACACATATTTCGGCAAAAGCTTAATATAATTTATGACACAGCTTTAAATATTACTTAAAAAAACACAACGTTTTTATCTTTTTAGGCTTTTGGTGAACACCTATGCGAAATTTTATATGCTGATCAAGTTGCAGGAGAAGAATCCACTGGGTAAGTTTTATATTTACACTTTTTAAAAGATAATTTTAGTTATATCATTAATGTTAAAATTAAAATATATTTTAAGGAGCTCACATGTGTTGACACCAAAGTCTTTTATAAAAGTTAACAGTCAACTTGAACTTCAACGTTTTGCCTCTGGTAATCCAAAACAACTGAGCAGATTGGAATCACTAAAAGGTAAAATAATAATTAACTTTGTTTGATTAAGTAATAAAAACTGTCGTCTAACCAAATTACAATTTTATAGGAAGTACAAATGATGCCACTTCAATTGATAATTTTGGTCCACTAAGCAATGTGCGTTTTGCCGTATTTGCTCTTGGGTCAAGCGCTTATCCAAACTTTTGCAACTTTGGCAAGTACGTGAACAAGTTACTCGGAGATCTTGGCGGTGAGCGTATTCATGAAATTGCCACTGGAGATGAAATGTGTGGTCAAGATCAAGCTTTCCGGAAATGGGCCTCTAGCGTATTTAACGTATGTAATACCTATGATTGTTTGCGACATTTTTCTCTTAAAATTTTTTTATAGCATTTTAATTAATCAATATTTATTTTAAATGACAAATAATATTTAAATGCAATATATTGTTCCATCTGGATTCTAAAATAAACGAAATTTCGCAATCGTTATAATCATTTCTCATAACTTTTAATTCAGGTGGCGTGTGAAACATTCTGTTTAGACGATGATGAAACTCTGCAAGAGGCAAAAAGAGCTTTAGGCTCTGTTACATTAAGTGAAGAAACAGTAAGATTTACTCGTCCAGCTGGTCGCCCTCCAACATTGCCAGCAGCGTTACAATCTGCATTGAACCGACAACTAGTAATTTGCGTTGTCAAAGCTAACAAGGATTTGGGTGACTCTACGGCGGAAAGATCTACAATATTTATAGATCTGGAACCAAAGGTAAGTAAAACTGAAAAAGTTGATAAAAATAATGTACCTAATGCCATAATCGTGTTTATTGCATAAACCTTCATTTTACAGAATGAAATCAAATACGATCCGGGAGACCACGTTGGTATTATTGCTTGTAATCGTAAAGAGTTAGTTGATAATTTGTTGACGCGATTGAAAGACGTCAGCGATTATGATGAGCCCGTGCAATTACAACTGATGAAAGAGACTCATACTTCAAGTGGTAAGCGCTCTTTTACATTAAACTTCTTTGTTAACTGGGTTGACTGGTAGAGAATTCCGACTGGCATTAAGTCCGTCCTTTATTACAAACGTATTGGGCATGATCTGAATACAATAAAGTTTTGAAAAAACTAAGAATTTGTTTTTTGTAATATATATTATGACTTATTTTTACAAAAAAATATTCCCTTAGGACCTGTTAAGTCTTGGGAGCCACATGAAAAACTACCAGCTGTAAGCGTACGAGAACTGTTTACCAGATTCTTAGATATAACTACTCCACCAACCACAATTCTTTTGCAATATTTAGCAAAGACTTGTGAAAATGAAGATGAACGAAGGCAACTAAACCTTTTGGCAACAGTAAGTGTAATATTATAAAATGTAATGATGTTAATCCTTCAAGATAATATTTATATTTTTTCTTACTAGGACCCCGCTGCGTACGAAGATTGGCGTCATTTTCATTTCCCGACACTTTCTGAAGTATTAGATCAATTTCCATCGGCCATGCCAAGTGCATCCTTGTTGGCTGCCTTGTTATCTCCATTGCAGCCAAGGTTCTATTCAATCTCATCTTCTCCTATTGCTCATCCAAAACGATTGCATCTTACCGTTGCTGTGGTTACGTACAGAACACAAGGTAAGCAATAAAGGCCACATAAAAATACTTCATCATTATATATAATGCAATATATAGCTAATAAAGTATCGTAGATATGTCTTAATTTATTGCCGTCGATGTGGAATGGAATGTCGCGATTAATAAAAGTAAAAACAAGGTCGACATTTTGTTTTCAAGTTTTTTCACTAAAAAACTAAAATTCATACTTAAGGCAATAAAAATAAGTTGATATTAGATAAATAAACGAATGACCACGGTTTTTGTTAGACTAGTGAACATAAAAAATCACGATTGTATCATGTTCAAACAGATGGTGAAGGTCCTGTCCATTATGGTGTTTGCTCAAATTATCTTATGGATCGTAAAACCGGCGATGAGATTTATCTATTCATACGAAGGTGAATATTCATTTTTGATAATTATTATCAGTCTTCTTTATTCCAATTTTACTTTTATTTTAACGTCTAATTTAATTTTCAGTGCTCCAAATTTCCATCTACCACAAGATTTATCAGTACCTCTAATACTCATTGGCCCTGGAACTGGCATTGCACCATTCCGAGGATTTTGGCACCACCGTAAAGCTCAATTAAACTCTCGAACACGTCCCTCCGCCGGTCCTGTCTGGTTGTTTTTTGGTTGCCGAACAAGAACAATGGATTTGTACAGAGAAGAAAAAGAACAAGCACTTAAAGAAGGTGTACTGTCAAAAGTTTTTCTCGCATTATCACGAGAGAAAAATATTCCGAAAGTAAGCGTTATTTACCCTTCTAATATTATTAATCAATTTATTAATTATTTCCGAAGTTATATTGAAGTAGTATACTTAGATGCTTTGTAGTCACTACATAACCTTCTTACAAATCAGAGGAGCCCTATGTTCAGCATTGAAACGTATAATATAGGCTGTAACTTTGATAGCTGATTCTTCATTAACAGTCTCTTAAATCGAACACGGGATATATGTATTGCGTCAATTGGCATCTAGGACTTCATAGATTTGCCAAATTTTGCACATATAAATTTCACATATGAACCTCCGAAATGTAGGCGTAAATTAAGATATTTCATTTAGTTATAGGATTTAGGAACCATTCATTATTCATTAAGCATTCATATTTTGACAGATAGAAAGCGTTATTTACCCTTGTAATATTATTAATCAATCTATTAATTATTTCCGAAGTAATATTGAAGTAGTATGCTTAGATGCTTTGTAGTCACTACATAACCTTCTTAAAAATCAGAGGAGCCCTATATACAGCATTGGAACGTATATAGGCTGTAACTTTGATAGCTGATTCTTCATTAACAGTCTCTTAAATCGAACACGGGATATATGTATTGCGTCAATTGGCATCTAGGACTTCATAGATTTGCCAAATTTTTCACATATAAATTTCACATATGAACCTCCAAAATGTAGGCGTAAATTAAGATATTTCATTTAGTTATAGGATTTAGGAACCATTCATTATTCATTAAGCATTCATATTTTGACAAATAGAATTTTAAAATTTGTTTGCAGATGTATGTACAAGAACTGGCAGAAAATGAAGGTTTTGAAATTTACGATCTGCTGGTTAATCGAGGCGCGCATTTCTATGTCTGTGGTGATTGCAAGATGGCCGAGGACGTTCATCAGAAGTTAAAAGGAATAATCAAAAAGCATGGCGGAATGACAGATGAACAAGTTCAGAGTTTTATGTTTTTACTTAAGGTATTTTTATTTTTAATCTTAATAAGTAAACATTAAACAAAACATTATATATTACATAAAACAGAAACGGTTAACTTAGAAAACAGTAAATAATTTAATTAGCTTCCTTCTTATTTTATCACAGTAGGTCAATAACAAGAGGATATAGTGCACGTTTATACTATTTGACTACAATGTTGCTGCAATTAAAATAACTTTGTTTATGCATATAATGCGATTTATTACTTAGTAAATTAAGCATATTATATTTTTCCTTACAATTGACTTGAGGCGATTCCTGCACGTCGATGCAAAGATAACGTACATATACGCGCACTCTTATTAAAATATCACAGTGTAATGTTATATCATCAACATCATTACGTACGGCACAAGTCCACCGCTGAACAATGACCTCCCTCCAAGAAATGCCATAAAGCTACCTACATCCATCGACTTTTTGCATCTCTTACCAGGTTGTCACTATCTAGTGGAGGGTCTTCCTATATTACGGTTACCGTTACAATGCTGCTAATTTTAATCTTTCTTTCCCTTATGTTGTCCACTCTTCGAACTATATGTCCAACCCATTTTCATTTCAGCTTACTTATCCATTAGGCTATGGTGGTAACTCTGGTTCGGTCGTTTCTACTTCCTTATGAAGTCTATCACGCAGATAAATTCCTAGCATAGACCTCTCCATAACTTGCTGAGCGGCCTTAAGTGGAAAAACCTTTGATTTTCTCTTTGACCTTTGACGGAATCAAAGGCTTTCTCATATTCCACATATTGTACTCCTCGGTCTTCTTTACAATTTTCCGAAGGGTATGTACGGGGTCTATTGTAGTAAACTGCCCTGTCTGCCTTGTTGGTCCGGTAATCATAAATTCATCTGCTGATAATGTAGTTCTGGCTTCAAATCCCGGGTCGGATCAAAAACCGGTTATTAAGTTTGGCTGGGGGTGGAAAGTTGACGATGTTTCACCCCCGTGCCTAAGAAAGCACGTAAATTTGTTGCTCTGGCGCCTCATCCCTCTCCGGTTGTGCCGGATATCCTTCACATTTGACTATGAGAGTGAGAGGGAATAGAGAGTGCACTTGTGTTTGCGTATACACTCCTGCATTATTATCCTTATATATGTCTTGAGAAAGACCGCCATTGCCGAAATTTAGCCTTGAGGGCATTATTACGAGTACCATAGACTAAAACTACTAGTAATCATTTTTTCATACTTTGTTAATGCAATTTAAACGCTTTGACACTTTCCCGGGACGCATTAATGTGATTACATTAATTCATAACAGAATTTTTAAATGACTCGCGAACAGAACGTAGATGCAGTTCAGAAGGAAAATTTCAAGAATTCCCGGAAGACAGATCTCTGACAGAGACTTTAGATCCTTTGTTCAAAGCAATTGCTTCTTCATTACATGATGTGTTGAAGTTGCGTACGTTTCTCCACATGAATTTGGGTATTTGTCTATTCAGTTGCCTGTATGCTATCATATCTGTTGAAGACTGCAACTTAATTTCCCGGCATACAGCCATGAGATTGAGAGTATAACGGATAATTTTTGGGTCCTTCTGGGATGGATCTAGTAGAACTTAGACCGTATGAAAAGTTTCCACGAGCTTACCATTTATAGTGTTCACTGTTTCTAATTACTGAAAACGACTTTAAAAGTATTTTGTTGTTTAAAAATATCTGGATTATGATTATATCCTGCAATATAATTATAATCAATTTGATATACATATTAACTCTTTACTAAGACTTGTTTTGTATGGAAAATATTTTTATTTTTGTTATATAGGAAGAAAATCGTTACCACGAGGACATATTCGGCATCACACTACGCACTGCTGAAGTACACAGCGCTTCTCGAGAATCAGCTCGAAGGAACCGCGTGGCTGCCCAACCATGACGCCGGTCCTCGCGCTTCCGTCCTAATTCAATTTGCTCCGCATAAATTGATGTCGCTTACTACCCTTTAAATATATTGAATTAATTAAATTTAATGATACGTTACGTAACGTACGTCAATAATCGAAATCTAATAAATATTTCTATTATCTATTTCAAAATCTTGAATTTTTTAGGGAATTGTAGTATTAATTCCGGAAATAATATTTATTGACACAAAATTATTAACTTTATTTACGGAAGAAATAAAATATATTTATTTTAAAATCTATTGTTTTGTTTGTATAAGTATATTATTTTGAACTATTTTCTAAGGAGGTTGTGCATATTTATGAGTATTATTTTCGATATGATTCATTAAACAGAAATAATAAAATTAACATTAAATTGTTAAGTACATTTAAGAAAATACTTTAATTAATCTATTTAATTATTCAAATAAGTATATTATGCAGGGATTCACAATCATTATACGCACAAGCATTTATTATAGCGTGCTTTTAAATTTTGTGTTTCGTTTGTCTTAATGCAAAAAGATAAGAATGAACAACAAAAGACAAGAAAGTAATTTTATTTCATAATTTCATGTTCATTAGCTTGAAAATTATAAAAGAAAATTTTCTTGCTATATTATGATATAGGTAGGATAAACTTTTCATGATATATTGATACCAATGTTTTTCGGTTATTAGTCTATTGCTTAAACAACTACATTATATTGTTTTAAAAAAATAACATAATGTTAGACAGAACACGTCATGTTCTTTAATTTTAGTAAAACTTGTACATATTTTATGCTTGCATCTTCTATTTTCGAGGATTTAAATTATAATTACATGCACGTACATACGTCATTAACTAAATCAACTCCTTATTAGATCATAAAATACATGTGCACTGCATTTTGCGCTCTAAGTTTAAAGTCTATTAAAATAACAAAACTATATAATGGTTACTTTTATTACATGAAATAATTGAAAACACTAATTCTTTTACTGTAGAGATTGGGAAAATATCTCCAAATGCTGCAATTTTACGTGAATGTCAACTTTGTGATCTGTGTGAACTTAGCTAGTCGTAAGAAATGTATTCATATTTTCTATTATCGATATTTAAAAATTAATACAACAACCCTACTAACAAATGTTTCTGTGTTACTATAAATAAATTTTGTAATCAATAATCATCTCTTGTAATTTTAATAATAATATTATATACATTTTATCGAACGAAAATTCCTCAAAAATTTATTCAAATACACATTTAAAACTTATATTTAAATTATATTCATGTCCAAAATAAAGTCACAAGCTACATCTTATTACGTATTTGCACCACTTTTACTATTAATGGAAGCTATTTGGCTGTGCTACAATATCAGACGATTGCATGTTGCTGGATTTTATTAATATTTGTCTGTTATTTATCAATTAAAGTTCCTTCGAATTCATTAAAAATCTTTTTATTTTTTTTCCTACTGCTGAAAAATCCTAACCAATACAAAGCGACAGAGATATAATAACTGATATAAATCAATAAAGTTCTAGTTAGTATTTTTGTCCTAATACTAATTTAGTAATAAACAAAATTGTTCTTTTTAAAAGCTTTTATTTTACTTGTAATGTGTTTTAAAGCAGTTATACGCAACCGATTGAGCTGAAATTTTGCATAAATATTTTGCGTATAATACATGGTTAGCTAATCGACGTCATTCTAAATCCAATATGGTGGACTCCCAAAGATGACGGACTATGTTTATTTTATGCACCCTCATGATATGGATATTAAATTAAAGAGTTTGCTGAGAAGAATACGAATAGAATGATGTCCGCGTTCAGCTCTTCGAGGAGATGGTGTACTACTGCCCGGCTAAACGGTAAGACTTACCGTGGTCGTGTCTTCACTAATATCGACTTATACCTTGGGCAAATTCTGGCGATTTGCCTAATTTTAAAGAGTCATAGCTCGGCAAAGCTTAGGATAGTTTGATGGTACTCGAACAAATGTTGTAGGGACCGACAAAGATCAACTGCTGGCGATAAAAAATCAAGATGGCGGATCTGAGATAGCGACCAATATTAACAATGTCGCATTAAATGACATAAACAGACTTAGAAACATGTCCAGCGATAACTAAAAAATAAATTAATAGTAAATTAACCTTTTTAATAATAAGTATTTATTGAATTGCTCTAAAAAGAATAAAATAAACTTTAAATTAAATCAAACCCATTAATTTATTACATCTCACAATTTATATGATATATAAGCATGTCGCGAGATTTACTCGTGTACATAAATAAGAATACAATATGTAACTCGACATATATGTATGTATGTAAATCTACGAAAAATATAAATACCTATTTTATGTAAATTGTGTAATGTAATAAATAAATGGGTTTGAATTAATTTAAAGTTTATTTTCTTCTAAAAAAGCTTGTTTTTGTAAATGTTCTTGTACTACTAAATTATTACATAGCCTGACAAATGCAGTTGCAACAGAAAAATAGATATACTTCTTACATAACTTACACTTCTTACATAAAGTAAGAAGCATTTTTGACATAAGAACTTTTCTTACATAAAATAATAAAATAACAAGAAGATTTATTTATACACGTCACAATTACTGTATTAGGCCACTGACATTTTACTTTTTAAATGAATAGCTTATCCTCCTCCTGCTTCTAAGCGGGTTTTGTGCAAGAAAGGATATTCTGTATTACCCTGCTGCCATTGGCAGATGTCATAATATATTCTCAAAATTTATTTTAATTTCTTAGACATAAAGTTGCCTCCACGATACAAGAGAAATTTCTAATGGTGGCTGGCATTAAAAAAATGAACGACTATAAGCCAGTGCTTGACTAATATCCCACCTGATGGTAAGTGGCAACAAGCGTAACAAAAGCCTATGGTCTTGAATAGAAAGATAGAATCAAATAGAAGGAAAATGCTGCGAAATGACTCCACTCCTTTGCTGTGCGCATTACGGACGATATAGCAAGCCGTTTGGTTCGAATGCGAGAAATATCGACAACAAAGGTGCGGAGACCAACAGAGCGTCTGGTAGTTCGATGATAAAACAGATACGGAGCAGTTAAGTCATACATGGCCACATCTTTCGAAATGTATCCTTTTGAATCAGAGTTTTAGACTATAGACTGAAAGTCACTCGCCAACACGCATTTTTTATATTTCTTTTTTTCCGTATTATATTTCCTTACCCTCTCAGAAATGAGTATTGCCTGTGCTCAGCAGTGGGACCCATTTAGGCTGTAACTGTTCTATAGAAAATATCAAATAAACACCTTTCGCCTTGATATATAATTGAAAAAGGAACATTTGAAATCACACAAAATTCACAGCTCTTTGTTGGCAACATTTTAAAATTCTTTGGCGCCAGTGTTTGACATTAATAAATATACATATGCTTATTTACTCTGATACATTGGCAGTATGCACAAACGACATAACTTGCCGAAGCGATAAATCTTAGAGTAACATTTGTATGCGACAATTATTCGTTTGACATTGATAGTATGAACATATAAAAAATATATGTTTAATTTTATTTAATGTATTTGTAACACATATGTAATATAAAAAAATAATGTTTGTTTGTTCATGTTTTTGCGCTGCCATACCGTTCATCAGATTGCGGTAAAACTTTGTCAACTTATTGCAGGTATAGTATAGTTAATTTACAGTAGGTGGCGCGCGTATCGTACCGACCAATTTATTTTAAAGTCGTATATCATTCAACTTCTTTGAATTATGAACTCCTAACTAAACAATATTATAACTCTTCCAAATTTAAAGTGATATTTCTACATTTATAACTCCAGCTGCTGCAATACGCCTGGTACTGCTGGTTATGTAAATTTTAGCTGTATGCACTCCTTCTCCATATTATAAAAATTGACTGCGAAATTTCACACTCTTAACTTAGAAATGAGTTGCGATGCTGAGTGTCACGGGTCTCAATCCACGGAACAAGTATTTTATATGATTGACAAATAATTGTTTCGGGTCTGGTTATATGTCCTTGTAAAATTGTTGTTTGTAAATGTTTGCAAACTGCCTCCACGATCAAGAGAAAACGTGTGAGGGTAACGGTATTAAAAAAATGTGCGATGTAGTAGTAAGGAGAATAAACGTTTATTTTAAAAATTTCCTAGTTCGTGAGCAAAACGAATTCAGTTTCCACTGGTATCAAAGAAATTATCAATTGCAATTTTAATTGTTGAAGCTACTGATTCCCGTATTGCATAGGCGGTGGATTCTTTCATTCCACAAAACCCTCTCAGAAATGAGTCAAAGATTAATTTTGTAATTTTTCTATCTTAAATTGTTTTGTTTGCGTATAATTAATTATGTTATGTTATTAATTATGTTAATTACCTTTTGGAATTAGGGACCAGTTTTCTTAACTGTTTTTAATAAAATCAATCCGGTCAACTGTGATATCTTCCAATAATAATGTTTAAGTTGAATTGTATCTTGAAGATCTTTATGTATATAATATGTATTATGTATAACCTTAAAATACTTTAATAACCTGACGTATTATTAAATTTTAAAGTTTTAACAGTTTATTATGTCCCCTGAATTTCGATCTCAGCGATCATTTCAGATTAATTATTATTATACTAGTGATTTGCCCCGGCTTTGCACGGGTGTTTTATGGATATCGACAACAGCGCTACCTGCCGCCTCCAATTGCGAGTCCAAACCATTCTGGAATCAACTTAATCACCCACACAAAACTTCATCAAAATCGGTCCAGACGTTTAAGGGGAGATCAGTTATATACATAAAGAAGCTGACAGTGGCTTAGCAATTAGTTGTTGCGCTGGGGGCCGCGGGTTCGAATCCCACACGGAACAAGTATTTGTATGGCCTACAAATAATTGTTCCGGGTCTGGATGTTTGTCCTCGTGCAATTTATGTTTGTAACCTGTCTCCACGATACAGGAGCAAAATCCTAGTGTGGAG